TAAGGTTTCTGCACGACATTGACAGCGTTTGCTCTGTTGATTCCATTAAGGGAGTCATGAATCAGTACTGACATGATTTGATCCAGACTCTCGCTGCGTTTTAGATATTAACAAAACATCACCATGAAGAATGCCATATGAAAAATGTGAAAAATATTTTATTTGTCCATCAATATAGGTACATTATGGCTTATAAAATGTTATAAGAGCCTGACTAGTTTCACTCGTGGTTTTCCATGAATTTTGTTACTATCGGGTGCGCTTCTTTTTTTTTCAACAAGCAAGATAGATGTTGGTGTAGCTGGAGAGAAGATCAGAGGGAACACATCAGTCATTGTGTACAGGTAGTATATGTTATTGTATGTTTTCAGAGTCCAGCTGTATTTAATTGTTGACGTTAAACTTGGCTCTGGCATCTTATGGAGTACTCAATGATAGGACAAGTATTTCCTGAACAAGCTTGTGCGGCAATGTTTGCACACCACTTTTATTTACGGCCGTTAGACAGAAGAGTCCATGAAGATGTCAAAGTAACTTTGAATGAAAAGCAACGCTGACACTAACCTCCTGTGCATCGAGTACTTCCTCATAACTCTCTTTTATAGGCCACACCGTTACCTTTTCCCAAGAGAACCCTGAACACGCTCATCAAGCAGAGAGCAGGGAGAGACGCTGACAGAAAGGCCGAAAAAATAAAGACATACGGAAACGGAAAAATGGGAAGGGGCTGGAACTAATTTAAAGATGTTAAGAACATTCAGGAAGGGCAAACACTTGCTACATCTTTGTTTTGCGCTAACCTTGCTGAGTCATCGGAGGTTTGTGGACCCAGAGGAGAAAGACGATGAAGTGGTTGTGGTTTTGAAGACCTTATTCAAATCTTTCTGAAACACAACTGTGCTAACTAACTGCAAAACTGCAAAAATCTCCATGTTACCAAGTCATCTTATCGAGTCCTAATAGTCCACTTTTCTCAAAACAAGTGGAACAGTCTGCCAATGAGGTGAAATAGTTGTAACATTTCCAATACAGATCAACTTGTTTCATGAATTTTCTAGAATCAAGTGTAATTTTCCTTTAATTTAGTGCAGTGGTCTGCCTTATTTTGTCACGTTTCAAAATACTGGCATGTGTAAAAACGTCATGAAAATAATAGCTTTGTGTTGGAGAGGTTAAACCAATATTACAGTGATGGCAGATGTTTTCCCCCTCTTGTTTTAAAAAAACACGTCATACAAATTTACTTTGCACAATGGAGAATATGCTCTTTAAGAGAATATATTTCCTTCAGCAGACTTTGCAAAGAAAGGTGTTATTGGAAATACGAATGTTTCTAAATCCCACAGCTACGCCACATTACTAACAGTGGCAGAGTGGTAATAATAACAATGATAAACTTTATGTTTACGGCCCTTTTCAAAACCAAAGCGCTTTACATGGTTGAATCAACTAACAGAACAGCCAAAAGTGACGCACTATGTGTAGTGTTGCCCTTCCCATAAACAAAGCTTCCTGACTTGGGTCAATATAGGTCAGACCAGAGGGGGCAGACCTGTGTAATTACCCTGGACGTGGGAAAAGCTGCACTACATCAGAATAATGTCCGGTGTATTAGATTCTCCATAAAGTGTGGCGCGTTTAGATTAATTCATGTCAATGGGTAATGTGTCTGCTGTGATTAATGTTAACAATAAGTATGTGTGGCAGCTTTTACAATCCGGTCAGCCACAGTGAGAATCAAAGCTCCAACTGTGGTCAAGTTGGCACCATTCAATGCTAATTGAGCTACGCACAACCACAAGTCTGCGGTCCACATGCAAACACATGTCCGTTTGTTTCACTGCTTTATTCGTTTGTTTGTAAACAAGATGTGACAGTCCGTGGACGACATCAGGGAAGAAAACAAGGACAGCTCTGTTGCTCAGGGTCAGTGGCGCGATCAATGCTAATCACATCACAGCCCGTACAGGATTTCCAGATTCAGCGCCTTATTTTGAGGGCCTTATGAGGTGAGCTGGATGGAACGTCGATCACGAGAGCAGAGACAAACACTGACGTGCACCAGTGAGCACACATTCACAATACAGCTTTGACAAGATGATTAGAAAGGCTGGGCTGTGGAGGAGAGCTTCGACCCCGGAGCTGCAGCTGAAACTTCTTCATCACCTCTGACACCATCTAATGACACTCATTTGCAATCTGATCTCCTGAACATTTCCAGACTGCTAGACCATGATAACATCACTAACAACTGCCCCCTTAACTAGTTTTTGATTTGATACTTTCTGAAAAGTGAGTGTCCATTTTTGATCTTGGGTCAACTTATAGATAGATGTGCTGAGTTTGTTCTAGCAAACTGGGGCAATTTTAGTTGCTCCAGTTTGTGTTATGTAGGTGAGTTAAATGACATAGTTTGTTATATGTAGAGGGTTTTTGCAAGCTAGATTTGCAGTATCTTAATAGAGCCGTGTGTTTTTAATGAGATCATAAGGGCCAGAAACCTGCATCAAAGAACTAATTTGACCGGAGCTCTGTGTGCAGCTTTGAAGCAGTTGTTTTGGTTCTGTCAGCTCTAAAACCATAGAGTACAAATGATGTTATAATCTGTAGCATATAAAAATAAGCAAAAAGCTCATACAAAACATAGATGTGCAGGAAACATCTGTGCAGGCATGGTCATGCAACAAAACATGATGTCTAGTATGTCAAATACCACATCCATGTTCTCAGCTAGCAGAAGAGAATTGAATCATGTTCTGTTTGGTTTAGTTTGAAGGGTAGAGGTTGTTCTGTGCTGATTTTGGGACACATACAAAATAGCAGTGGGTGGCACATAAGCATGCAAACTGCTGTAAGTGCGCAGGCACCTAAACATATAATAGGATATTTAATCATTATTTTATCACTGCCAAATCTCCAAAATTTCCACTTGTCGTCTTTTAAACTCAAACACATTAAACATCTGCACTTGCTAAGGCCGAGGACTTGGCCACGGAGGCCAAACCTTTAATTTAAGATTTTTTTTTTTCTAGAAAATGTACGGATTTCTCACCACAATCAAGTGGCAACAAGAGCTGTTGAAATTGATGGATTGCGCTTCTAATGCCATGACCTGATGCCATTATAGTTAGTGACACGTTGCACCCTAATGGTTGAGCTCTTTATGTGCATATGTGTAAAAGTGTGTGTGTGTGTATGTGTGTGTGTTTGTGTGTGTGTGCGCACATGTGCATGTGTGTGTCAAAGAGGACTGCAGGAAAGGGGAGGGAGGAAGAGACGCTAATTGAAATTCCTTCAGCCATGTCTGGCAGAGCCTTGGTGTCTGAGTGGCACACACACACACACACACACACACACACACACACACACACAGACGCACATGCACGCACACACATATTCACACTGGCCCTAATAAAAGTGGGCTTTGCCATATGGAGGCCATGTGCAAGACTGGCCTCTCTGTGCTCTAATGTGTGTGTGTGTGTGTGTGTGTGTGTGCTCTTAGGAGAGGCTTGTACAGCACCGCAAACCCACAGACAGATGCACAGAAACCCTATGACATGTGCATGAAGGTGTGTGAGTGATAAAGATCCAGCTTTAATGAAGGTTACATTCCCAGGCACACACACTTGACATGCTGTGACACATTTATACGCATACAGTAAACATAATGCAGCGAGACCCCCTTGTATAATATTTAAGAAATTAGTTAGTTAGTATTAGTGTTTTTGGACATCGCCCATCAAATTCAGTGAACGGGCAGGAAAACTCTGGGCAGGTAAATGTGGGAGTAATGTTCTGTTCTCTCTCAACAACTGAGACCAAAAGACTGTGGCAGTCCTGGAGAACTTCCAGATGTGTTTAACTAGAAGATAAAGATGTGGGCTAGAGAATGATAACAGCTTATTTTCTGTCCTGGATCAGTCATAAATGATTATGATGACCCTTACAAGTCGTTAAAAGTATTTATATATGCTAGACTAGATGGTTTGTTGAGGTTTGCATGCTACCATGTAGCTATTGTGGGACAGCTTACATTCTTAACGTGCATCTTCAGTCCAATTATCCTACAACAAAAGATTCCACAAAATGAGTGCAGTTTGCATTCAATCATGCAATCATCCCCTTTCCTCCCTCAGTGGAGGACTAAGAGTCGGGAGTCTACCCAATGGGAAAGAGTGTAACTGTGTGAATGTCAGGCTGAGTGGTGCTGACAAAAGAGCATGTGTGCTCAGTGACCCTTCTCGGGATAAATAAAGGTTAAAATCATATTTCACAGCCCTCAAAATGCACAAGCAGAAAAATGAGCAGGAACTGCATGGTTATAACTTTACATCTCAGTCCGCCTAACCTCATACTTAGCATATGCCCACTGCTATTATAGCTGTAGCACAATAACAGCAAGCATGAAGTGTACTTGTCATTCTCCCCAGGGGTTTGGTAATAGCTGTGTTTTAGATATTTCCTCAAAGAAGAAGAACTTTCTCTGGGCACTTTCTAATTGGTTCCAGTGGATCATCTCTCTTTTTTATCTTCCTGGCTTACTCATTTTGTTTTTTTCCTGTCTTCCCTCCTCTGACACTGTCATGCTCTCCCTTCCCCAAACTTTCTGTGGTCTGGTGAATGTGCCCGCCTGTACAGATGGTTGAAAAAGGCTGAAAATCATGTAGCTCTGTGATTTGTTCTTTTGCCCAGTCACCTGTGGGAATGTGCACGGTTTGCCAAGTGTGGAAAAACAGAATCATCTCTCTTCGAGATGCAGCGGGCGAAAACCAGTGCGATATAAAAATGCTCAATAGAGTTCATAAAGTGAACTTCCCTTTCCAATCAGTTTTCAATTTTCAGTGCAATTAAAAAGTCTAAGAGGAAATTAAACAGCTCAGTATCAGTAAAAGCTTAAGAAATTCCTAGATTGCTTTCTAATTCTCACAAGTTGCAGATTTCATACTTAAACTTAAAATGTAAAGAACCAATGAAGCACATAAACAAAGTTGACTTACTGTAAGGATCGTCCTCATTTTTGGTGCCATTAACTTTTCCTTTCCTGTCAATGCGAAGGAAGAATTTCTGGTAGGAGAACAGTTTCCTCCTGCGCACATCTCCTTGCAGATGATTGTAGCTGCTCCGCACGTGGCGCCCGATGACCGTCGCGGAGGACGATGACACATTGGTCGCCCGTGGCAACCTCGCAGAGGATGCGTGCAGCGGTGCAGCTGACGGGGAAGGCGGCGGGTGTGAGGTGAAGAAGATGTGAGGTGGAGGGCCTCCGGGTGCATTGTGGTTCTTTTCAGAGTCTGGTGATAAAGCGGACAGGGGTGAGGATGTGGAGGGTCCGAACAGGAGAAGCAGGAGGAGGAAGGTGAGGGACAGGATTAGTGGAGGAGGTCTGCAGCAGGGGCAGGAGGAGAACCAGGCGACCGGTGCACCTTGTGTCACTGTCCATCTACACATGGTAGTGGAGCTGGGAGAGCTGTGGAGATGCTCAGGGGCTGGGGCATGCTGAGCTGGGTACAGGGAGAGGAAATGAGAGTGGGAGAAACTCCCCCTGACTGACCGACTACACGTCCTCTCTCTGGGGACCCACAACCTCACTGGGACTGTAGAATGGCCGGGGTGAAGACAATCTGACTGCAGTCGATGTGATTATGGCAGCAGATGTAGCGTTATCGGTAGTACTGATGGTGATGGTGATGTAGCTGCTGGTGGTGGTGAAGCCTGCAGCGTGGTGGCTGACTCTGCTGTAGTCCCCTGTGCTGTTTATTCCTCAGCTGCGCCGCAGGAATGCGTCAACATCCATAACTCAGATCATCTCGAAACTGGAACAACTGGGGGTTCACCGCCTTAAAGACCTCTCACCACCTCCACCCTCTCCTCCCAAGACTGCTGCTCTTTGCTTCAGTTGCTCTCTCTCACATACACACACACATACACATACAAACACACGCACAATCAAAATCTCTTTTTAAAGTTTGATTATACACTTACACTCTCACATCCAAAGACACAAACACACATTATCAGGTCATTCATGCACACTGCTAAAACTCTGCCCCACGCACGTCCCAAACCATTTATCTTTTCCAGTCCAGGGAGGTGGGTAACAGGAAGGTGGAGGAGGTCCGGATAAAAGATGCCGAACTGCTCAGTACAAAATGAATAAATAAACACAAAAAGTCCAAAATGGGATTAATGCGGCTTCTCATAAAATGTCCAGAGAAATCCACGCAAGGCAGGCCACCAAAAAAAAAGTCACAGAATCCAGACTTTCTTCTTTTCTCTCTTTGTTTCTGTCTTTGTTTCTCTTGGTTTTGTCGGCACTGGTTTGAAGTTACTTGAGTGTGTAACTGAGCTCTCGTCTTTCTCCCCTCTCTTGTTGGTGCGTCTTGTTAGTGAGCTGAGCTCCCTATCTCTCTTCTGTCCTTGCCTCTAGGAGTCTGAGCGCTGGAGCTGTGCGCTGCCTCTCTTCTTTCCTCCTGCGTGTGGCTCCCTCTCCTTTGGACCCCTCCCTCTTTCCTTTGCCTCTCCCTCTCTCCTATCTCTATCAGTGGAGCTCTCTCTGGTTATCTGGAGTTTCTCTGAGGTGACTGAATCTTGTCTTTCCTTTCACCTTATTTATCTGCTGCAGCTCCCCAGATGTCATCTCTTAGTGTAATTGGATGTCTATGAAAACCACTTGGCTTTGAAGAGCTGTGTGCTTTTGTGTGTGCGTGCATGTGTGTCTGCATGTGTGTCTGCACGTGTGTGTGTATGTGTATGTGTATGTGTATGTGTATGTGTATGTGCGGGGGATCAGTCCCACCCCATTTTCTCTTTCCCTCTCTCTTTTTCTTTGTCTCCTTCTCAGACAAAATCCCACCAGTTGAGCAGAGCAGGTCCGAAAGAGGAAAAGAACCTTTCCTTCATATCTCTCTCTTTTAGAGTCTGTGTCTGTTGATTAGCACTGGGTACTTTTTCAAGATGTTCAATACCAGCCCTCATAAGATACCTGAGTTTTGGTACTTACTTGGAACTAAATAGTGCAATTTTTAATTCTCTAATTTGAGAAATATTCAATATGTTTCCCTACAAAAAACTTTTTTTTTTTACAAAACTACAAAAGAAGCCAAAGTTCTGAAATGTTAAATGTTTAAACTCAAGCAGCAGCACGAGAACTCTGCCGAAATACGATAGCCTAATACTGGCAAAAATTTCATTTTAAATCAGAAACTAGAAGAAAAAGAGAAGAAGTTGGCTTAGATTATGACCACTTTTTTATATATATCTATATTTTTAGGGGCTTTTTGGCCTTTAATTTTATGACAGGGCAGTTGAGAGGAAGGACATGTGGGAGAGAGAGAGGGTTACATGCAAAGAGCCTCGGGTCGGACTCGAACCTGGGCCACTGCGGTAAGGAACTAAGCATTTGTACATGTACTCCAGCGCCTGATGCATTCATTACTTGACAGTTTTTTATACTCTGGGCCGGGACACTTTTTGGTCAGTACCAAAACAATATTGAACTCCAACATACCGTCGTACTCATTGCAAGCTGCATATCATAATCTCTACCAGTTTTTCAGTAAATATTAATTACTTGGAACGTAACTTAAATAAATTACACTAAGCTCACCTATAAGTAAAAGATGAAGCATAGCGTTGGTTCAGGCGTTGCTTGCATTTGCTGATTGGCATCAGCCACTGTTTCATTCACTCTTCACAATAACTCATTCACAGCTGTGTGGATACCAGCTGGCTTGTAACATCCAATCATATTCAGGCAGGTGTACAGCAGTGGCATTATAACCTGATGCCTCACACTATTACTACCTGCACCACGCCAACCTCCTGGTGTTTTTGATTTAATTTTGATGTATACGTATGTTTAAGGGGGGATGGGGTGTTCACCAAGCAGATGCTGCTTGGATTCTTTGATAACCTCAAGAGCAAAGCCGTTTCTGCCGGATTAATTTTTTTAATTTTATATAAATGTTCAGTTCATTGACATAAGTGTTTCTGACTGAAGATGTGTGCTAATGTTTCCTTCTCCGGTTGAAGGGATGCTTATTAGTAAAATTACCTCCTTTAGTGTTCATGATGGAGTTAAAAACCTGTGAATTCTCTGCCCTCCATGACACATAATTGCCTGTATCTGATAATGGCCAAGAGTTTCTTTTTCTCGTTTGAAGATGCACAGGACAGTTCTGAGCCGAGTCAAGTTCCCCTCAGCTGTTTTGACAGATACTATCAAGTGATTTCTTTACTCGGAGCTTAATCTTTAGATAAACATCTCTCTGTGTTTGGATGACAGAAATTGTACCTTACGTGTGTTGCTGTGCTTCACCTTTCAAGAATCTCGGTCTACTGTCTGGTTTCAGCGTGGTTTAATTTCCTTTTCACATTGTCAGACAACAGCCATATCTCCGTATCTGCCTCTTCTCTTTCCTTATAAGTTTCTCAGTTTTTACTGGAGCTACATATGGTCCGAAGTATGCAGCAGGTGGATTTGAGTTATCATGTTCTACTACTTTCTTCCTTCATTTAGCCCCTTGGTGTTAATCCATCATGCATTAGCACTTAAGGATTTTCAAACAATTCCTTTTGGCGATGCACAGACCTGTACAGACTTTCAGTCAGCCAGCATTTCCCTATAAGGTGTTTAACGCTAACTGAGATTGTACAGGTGCTACCAACAGTCTTATAGAAAAAAAATTAAAATTCCCACATATGTATCCCCTCTGAATTAATTTATTTTAAAAAGGTAGTCAATATATATATGAGTATGTATGTATGTATGTATATATATATATAAATATATATGTGTGTGTGTATATATATATATATATATATATATATATATATATATACGGACCCATCTACTACTATTTTGATTACTGATTCAGTTTTTAAGTCAGTTTTTAAGTTAAAATATCAAGCATTCCCTAGTTCAGAATTGTATTTGCTGTTTCTTGCGTGATATGTAAACTGGATATCTTTGAGTTTTAAACTCTTTGGTTTGACAAAACAAGCATTGTAGAAGTCACCTTAGGCGTCATTATTTTCATTCATTTTATAAAGCAAACGACTATTTGAAACAATGTGCAGACTTTTAAAACATGAAAAGAATTGTTAGTTGCTGTACTATTAGGACAAACTGTCCACATGACCATCTGTGCTACACTTTACACATATGCCTATATGTTCAGGTAAGAGAACACCTGCAGACAAAATTCAGCACCATGGACAGCACTTTACGAAGTTCTTCATAATGCTGTATATAATTAAACATCCCTGCCTTTGATATCATAAACTCTTCTTTATGTCTTAATGTCAATTTTTTTAATTGAGTGTGGAGATTCTCTAAGGCAAGACATGTGCAGACCTGATCCTCTCTGAGGAAGAAACCAGCAAAGTGTTGATACACATCTCTGTGACAGGTAGAAAAAACAACCGCAGCGGGGCATGGTAATAAACGCCGGATGATCTACCTTTATTACTTAAAATAATATCTGTATATCTTTTATATATATATATAGTATATCTTATTTATATCTTTTCATTCACTCTTAGTCTCATAGAGCTGATCCAATAAGTTGATGTATTGAGCGCTCAAACTATTAAGATAATCAGCTAATAGTTTCCTGACATTTTATAGATGCACATAAATTATATATATTAACAATGAAAATACTAATTTGTCACAGCCCTTAAGTTTTGAATTGTGGATATAAAGGCAGAACACTGGCTGAGTGAATGAATGAATGATAACTAAAAATGGAAAGTTTTAGGAAAAGAACAAAGGAGTGGGAAGAAGAGACAGATTGAGAGGGAGAAAGAGGAAAAAAAAACATCTGGTCAGTGGCTCTGTGGCTTGAATGTGGGGTGTAGAATGACAACACACACAACACACATGGACAAACACACAACCAGATACACGGTGCGTCTCAGATCTTTTTATTGCACCGAAATTTGCTGTTTCAATTCAAGCTGTTTAATCATGACTGTGTGAAATTGGGAGCACGAATTACTATTGAATAATTATCAGTTACTGATCAATTGCCGACTGATCTCTTCATTGCCTCGCACTGTAATCTTTTTGTTCTGTGTTACAGTCCTAACAAGACTCAGATGTTGGAAGTCTGTCTCCCGTAAGGGAAAAAATGTTTCGTCACACCAGAAAACAATTTGTTTGATTCAGTGAAGCACCACATATTTGGGTTCCCCCCCTGAACTACTTCAGAAGGCTGTAGGGGCTTCCCTCTCTGAAAGGGAATGTCATTCAAATTCAAATTCAAATGCTTTACAGTAAGTAAAATAGATTTACATGATTTACAAAAGTTTACTTTTTAGCAGTTTAAAAAGTGACACGTAAAATTAAATTTATGAAAAATATATAACAAATCTGACTTGCTGTGAGGGCGGTGATAAAAACTTACAGTTGTAAGTCTTGTACATTTAGCGATGCCTCTCTAATGATGAATAAATAATTTTTTTAGATGTGGCCACATTTCTCAAAATCTGTTTTTCTCCCTCGTAGGAAAGAAATGAGTCAGCCTCATTGTCTCGTGGTTTTGGCTTAAACTGCTGTTGCAATCTGAGGCCAAACTTCAAAGTCAAAGCAGAATGGAAGTGCTGATCTAGGGTCAGCACCCAAAGCAAAACGGCCATGATCTTATAGATTCCCTACGCGGAGCTCTGCAGATTTTGGATCAGTAAATGTGAGCGGCTTTGCGGATTCCAGCCCAGATGAGCTGAAACAGGTCCCCTCTGGCTCCGTTGGTCATGCCTTGGATAGGTCTTGATTGCGCATGCCTAGGAGGAGAACGCCATTAGGGGCCAGCAGTTTGGCTCAGTGATTCTAATTGTTTCATTGCGGTTGAGCTGGTGGCTTTGGATGCATTATGGTCTTCAAACCAGCTCTGCCGAAATGGCCCTGGCAGTTAACTTTAATTACAGACACATTAAAGCACTTATAGACAAAAAGGAGGTCTTACGATAAGCTAACTTACAGATACTGTACACTACAGTTACGGTCAAGCTGCTGAGTAGATCCCTCTCAGTCAATACAAAACATCAGTGACAACAAAGAGCACTTTGATTACAAATTATTTTGAACAAGCTTTTCAATTTAAAGCAAAAATTTTAATTTAATTTAATTTAAATTAATAGTGGAGTCCTTTTAAAGCTGTTTTGTTGCCCTTCCCACTGAGTGAATACTTGTAATTCCCCTGGAATGCACTATACGCACTTGAAAGGGAAACAAACACGGATCAGCGTGTTAACTGCAGCAATAATAGAAACACGAGTAAACACCTCTTTCTTTGGCAGCCTCAGAAGGTATGCCAGACTCCAGAGCGAAGAGACACGACCTTCAGATCGCATAAACAAAGATGTTCTGAGATGGAGACATAGAACAATAAGACTGGTGCTATGGTTGAAGGATGTTTTATGATTCACACACCGCAGTATTTCCGATGGTCTCCTCATGCTGATTTTCAAAAAAAAAAGAGCC